CTCTCTACTACACACACACATTCATACAGCTCTCTACTACACACACATTCATACAGCACTCTATTACACACACACATTCATACAGCTCTCTACTACACACACACATTCATACAGCTCTCTACTACACACACATTCATACAGCTCTCTACTACACACACATTCATACAGCTCTCTACTACACACACATTCATACAGCACTGTATTATTACATACATTTATACAGCACTCTTCTAGATCTCTACAACAACTAATTAGAGCTTTATATCACATTCATACACCGATGGGACACACTTCAGAGGAAACGAGAGGTTCAGTGTCTTGCTCAGGGACACTGAACAATAGTGTCTAACACATGTATCATATAACACAATGTATCTTTATCTATCCATCTATCTGTCTGTCTGTCTGTCTGTCTGTCTGTCACAGTAATATTGTTACGCACGTTAGTTGTTGTAAACACAAAATAATACATATGTTGGTTTGGTGTTTACCTTTAATATAAATATTTTAGCAGTAAACATTTTTAATAATCATGTTAAAAGTTACAAATGTTGTCTTTGGTGCCTGTTTGTTTTCCAAATGTATTAGTGTGCGTGAATGACAGTCCTCAACATAAAACACTTTGTAGAACGGTGCTTTATAAAGTTCAGTCCATTTCCTTCAATTAGTTGACCAGCACTTCTGCCACATCCAATATGGCGGACATTCCGACGTACTGCTGCAGTGGGCCAGCCCGTTCATTGAAGCGTCTATATATACCCATTACCCATCATGTCATATTTAAGCTGGTTTTTGTTGTCCGGGAAATGAGGAGTTGACGAATGACTTAGATTTATCACGTCAACTAGAAACATGCTGCAGAAGAAGAGGGTTTTTTTTTTTTTGTATAATTGTGTGAATCCAATGAATTAGCATGTACGTGACTTTAGGTCCTGAATATAAAAGGAATCCTAGGCCAGGGGATGTTCTGACTCCTTATCATGGATCCATGTTTATGTCTCTGTAGGCTTTGCACTTCTTCATCGGTCTGGGTGCAATGGTCAGCCCTCTGGTGGCTGACCCGTTCCTGGCAGATGACCGCTGTGTGTTGGGAGCCAACGGGACTAACAACTCGTCTTCCTCGGACTTAGAACACCTCCGTAACAGCCTGGGTGGACACGGAGCCATGCTGGGCAACACCTCCCGGTATCCTCTGTACACTGAGGGTGTCGTCGTCACCAGGGTGTCCTATGCTTTCTGGATCATGGCTCTAATCAATGTGAGTTCATGTCCGTGGGCTTACTGCTGTATAACATGAGATGCTAGTGACGTTTATTTTGTTTCTCTGTCATGTACAGTTTGTGTGAGCTCAGCAGGTGTTGAGTTAAGATGTTGATCTGGGGTGGATTCCCAGTTGTCCAGGACGTGACAAAGTTTTTTAAAGGCAACTGGGCTTGTGTTCTGTAGTTGAAGACACTTTGCTTCCAATCCATGAAGTTTTCTCAAGTCAAAACTAGAGTGTGGAGTTTTAAGCTTTAAATTCCATCAAAAGCTCCTTTTTTGCAGCTGAATTTACTTTCAGATTATTCTCCTTCTCCTCCCCCCTGAGGGTCATCAGGCTCTTTGTTCACTTGGATCACAGAAAAATGTTTGGGTCACCAGTATTAATGGATGTACCCACAGATTATGGATTGAGAAAAACAGGCTCAAACTCTAATAATTGAAAGTGGTTTATTTACAGAGAAGTGATATTTGTATTATTTACAACAGGGAATGGAAGAGAAGAGTCAGGATGAGTGGAGTGAGGGAATGGCAGGTAAGACAGGTTGTCAGGGAGCTGTAGTGTTGAGAGGAGGGCGGAGGATTCCAGGTAGTTTTGCTCCAGGGTTGAAAAGCACACGGGGAGCGTGGAGGTAAGTATGTGGCAAGTGCTTGGATGGTGGCAGAGCAGCTGAAGGTGAGTCACAAAGAGGTTCACAAGATGTCCAAAGGTAAGTACAGGAATTGAGGATTCATGGTAGGTGACGACAGGTCCAGGACTGGAGGCTCAGGAGGCAGGTTCTAGAAGAATACGAGGAGAACACAAGGTAAGTTATTTTCTTAGCGTAAGCACAAGGAGACCGATAGCACAAATACCGATGAGTATGTAACGCTCCAGAAGGGAAGGGAGCTCTTCTGCAGCCTCTTATACTCCAGGAGTTCGTGAGATGATCCACAGCTGCTGCTCACTGGCGCCACCCTGGACTCAGGAACCTGCAGAGAGAACTTTTTACTCTACAAGCATGAAGTTGTGAATTAGAGGGAAACTGACTCTCAGACTTAATACTGCTCTCTAGGTGTTAGAAAACTGAATTCTGAGACTTCCTCCTCTGTTTAGATTTGTTTTATCTTGTTTGATGTCAATGACTTCATCCACCCACCCCCACAAAAAAAAAAACATCTGCCGTCTCTGTCTCAAACATGAACCTGTTGGTCCTCAGCAGGGTGTCTTATCCTTGAGATGTAGGTGAACCACTGAGTCCTGTCCTGAACAGCTAGCTCTCCAGTGTTGAGCCATGCGTCTGTGGAGAGCTTGTTAGAGGTCTGAACCTTCCTGCAGACACCACACGGCTCTGCTTGTGTTTGGGACTTCTGTCCTCAGGATGGAGGATTGAACTTGGGTTTAAAATGTACTGGGATGTTGGGTTTAACATGTACTGGGATGTTGGGTTTAACATGTACTGGGATGTTGGGTTTAACATGTACTGGGATGTTGGGTTTAACATGTACTGGGATGTTGGGTTTAAAATGTACTGGGATGTTGGGTTTAACATGTACTGGGATGTTGTGATTAGAGAATATCCTTCAGTGGTTCTCAATCTTTTTCTTTTTTGGTTTGTTTCTCTCATTCAGGTTTATGTGATTTTACAGAGTCAGCTCATGTTTCACATCTTTTAATCGGCCTAGATCCTGCTGACATAGATTGGTCAAGCAGATCACTGACACGGGTCATACAGACATTAAAGAAAAGATCACTTTTTAATTTTAAACAGGTAGAACTTTAACTGGAAAGAATCGACCAGCAGCACTCTTCTTTTTGTGTTTCCCTGCTCCTAAAGTGGCTCAGCCTTTCTGGTTTTACAGCCCACTGACATGTTTGTCCCACAATCAAATTAGAGTCAAAGTTTATTGCATCTGTGAAAGGCAAAGTGTGTTATTCAATTTGGTATGTCAATATAACTGCCTGGTTACACTGATAATGACTCAGTGAGCAACACTACTTCACAGAACTCCCAACAGTTTTTGTTAACTAAACGTGTCTGTTTTAAAAGTTTGTATTTGGACTTCATTAAACCAAGCTGTGTTGGTCACACAAATCTGACCTACAGATGTAGAAATGACATCAACTCGTAAACATGGTTAGCTGTTTTGACTTGTTCAGTCTTGTGTCCTGGCTTTTGTTTTGTGATTCCAGCTGATTTATAAAACTTTACGCGGCTGCCGGCACAAGGAGGGAAGCGTCCGCCTCAGTTAAATGACATTTTTGTTTTCTTCTCCAGGATCTTAAACAGGATCTCTGTGGTTCAGAAGACAAGCTGGAGTCTCCTTTTATGAGGGGGTGCTCATAAACTGAGTGAGCTGACAGGAAGCGTTGCTTGTTCACTTACAGAACAATAATCTCTTTGTGTGTGTGTGTGGGGGGGGGGGGGTGTTCTGCAGCTTCCTGTGCCAGCAGCTGTGCTCACGTTGATGCACCATGAGGGGCTGGTGTCCTGCTCCAGCAGCAGCCCCCGTCTGCTCAGTCGGGATCCTGGTCCCAGTCCGGCTGTGGACAGCAGCCAGGGTAATGTGTGTGCGTGTGTGTGCGTGCGTGTGTGCATGACCACTGATTTAGGACCAAAGGTCTCTGATCATCCCTGTCTCTGCAGGACATGGAGACATGTTGGACTGCTTTAACCTTGACAGACTCCGGGGTCGACCGGCTACGTTCTTCATCCTTCATGCACTGGGCGGAACCATCGTCTTCATCACTGATGGGATCATAGTGAGCCTTCCTACTTATGCTGCACACACAAAAACCCAACTCTTCTTCAACAGACACATCATCTCAGCACTTACTGACTTGTGTTCATGTGATGCGTCCTGAAAAAAAAAGCACTCTTAAAAATAAGTCTCTGCACTCTTTCAAGCACCTGGATCTGGACTATATTACCGATCAGACACCTACAAATGCATGTTGTATTTAGATGGGGGGGGGTTTTCTCAAAGACTCTGCCTTTGATTGTTTCATACAGAAGATAGGCAAATGGGAGGTCAAATGGCAATAGAACCTATTTTAAGGGTTCTCAGGGTAAGCAGGAAAAAATAAAGGCCTGAGGCACCAATTAACAGAAAGAAAAACGTAAAAAAAACGAGCACAAGAATATTAGGACTGTCTAAAATTATTGATCAGATGCTGATAAAATATATCAAATAAATAGCACAAAAGTATGGACATTGGTTTTGTGATAATGATTTCTTTGTTGTGGAAAAAGCATGCTAGATGTTATAGAAACTAATTTATAGTGCGGAGAGGGCAAAGTTAAGCAAGGTACTGGTGGTATTATAGTGTCATTGGTGGACACATGTGTGCGAACATTACAGTTGGTCACAGAATTTGTTACACTGTTGATGTATATGCTGAAAAGAGTTGGACCATGTATGGAGCCTTGAGGAACGCCTTTGCTGATGGGTAGCGGGTCTGACAGGTGACCCACGCCCTCACTGAGTATGTTCACCCAGAACAGTAGCTTTTGAACCAAGCTATGCAACTCTCTGACAGACTGAGGTCTCTTATGCCCCTTTTGCACTGCCCCTAATAAGCTCCAAATTCTGGGCAGCCCGCCACAGAAAGAACCCTGTTGCACCAGTACTTTAGTATTTTTAGCTGATTTGAGGCTGATTCAGGACCTCTTTTCGTCCCTGCTTCTCTGGTGGGACCGAGCGACCTCAGTCGAGCCGAGTCCGGACCGAAACGTGGATGCAGGACTCTGATTGGTCAGGGGGAGGAGTCACTGGATCTCAGAAACTTTTCACTGAGCCGCCATTTGCAATTTCTCTGGATGCGGAGCAGCGGCTGGATCTATTTTTAAGATTTTAAAAACAATAATGACAACACCGTGTTTAATTCTGAAGTCCAGGTGTTTTTTTTGTGTTTGGTGACCGACGACAAAATTTGAGCGAGTGGTGTCACCGCGGAGGATCATACGAGCTGCAGAGCTGTTGAAGCCTGCGAGGCCGGACTCTGAGCCCTGAGCTTGTCTGCTCACAAAGGCTGGATTCGAGCCCTGGCAGGCAGGAGGACCGGGATGAAGGGTGGAAAAGTTTGTTTAAAAACATTTTATGTATGTTAAAAAAAGTTGTTTTTATCAGTGAAGATTAAAAATAAATAAACGGTGCCGGCTTTATCATGAAATCCTGTTTTCACTTTGACTTTATTAAATAATCTGTTAATTGGGGAGTGGTGGTGCAGAGGTTAGAGAAGGTGGGCCTGTGATCGGAAGATTGCCGGTTCAAGCCCCGGTACCGACAACATCAAAAATGTGGGTGGGGTAGGTGAAGCACCCACACCTGCCCCCACCCTCATTCGTCCCACTCTGTGCCCTTGAGCAAGGCCCTTAACCCCCATCATCTGCTCCTCCAGGTGTCCTGATAGCAGCTCTCTGCTCCACACAGAGACTGTGGCAGCTCTGTGGTCTGTGGTTGGTCAGGAAGAACATCTGGTGTAAAAATAACTGCCAAGTCTTTGTGCAACTTAGTTCGCTGTGGCGACCCCTAACGCAGGGAGCAGCCGAAAGAAGAAGAAAAAAAAATGTTAATTAAAGTTAATTTAGCTGAAAAATCATAAAAAGACTTAATTATTGGATCTGTCAGGAATATTTCCCTCAAACATGTAGAAGAGACACAGCCTTTGGTTCAACTTTATTCTAACCCACACATGTACAAATCACAAAACAA